GAGGTGTCAAAACACAATTACGTGATTATTTTTTCCCGTAAGTGTACGTCATATATTAGGAGTGCTGTTTCCGTGGCATTGAGATATTCGTATGGGTTGTTTTAACGCTCTCATTCCGAGTAAACTGACATACGAAGCTTGGGATACTCATGTCGATACTATTTAATCGTGACAAAACCATATTCAGGGTGGTGGCGACGAACCTACAGTACAAACTTGGCCGTCCGTACCTCTCAATCCCGCTGGGTTTGTTAACAAAGCCTGGTGCCCAGAACAAACCGATCTTTCTACAGACTTCAATTGTCAGAACGTGGACTTGTTTGGGAATTCCATATTTGCAGACGTATGTTTGGATGCATTTATGTAAAGTCGTGTAAAATAGTCGGATCGATTACGATTTCTTCTTGAGCATTTTCACCCATACGTGCGCCTTTGATATCTGACCTTACATCATCGCTTTTTCTCATAAGGTATTAATCGACATGTTCTGGTTAGACGAGGAAACGATAGCAAAGCTAAACGAGACGTTTCTTACCATCTGTTACATCAGGTATCATTTCTTGGAATGCGCAGTGCCGTCTGAAGTAAAGCACCGTAAAGCTTGCCATAAAAGCACTCTATTCACCTTCTCGCTTCTCATAAGGGTATTTTCGGGTTGCCCAGTAAGACAGCTTAATAGCTCTTATGTTTCGTATGCTAAACCTGCACATGCGTCTAGACCTTAAACGTGCTTTTCGCACCTACATATGCATTGTTCTGGTTCTTATACAAGAATATTTTTTTGACCGAATGTTGGTTTGACATTTCAAGCAAAATTTTGATTCTGTATGCCAAGGATGCACTTGTTTTAGATTCGGTGTATCTCTTCGGAGAAATGAAAAAGACCGCCTGCGTCATAATATAAAGGAAATCTGTAGCCTCATCACGATCTTAAAATTTATTTCTTGCGTAGTGGGGGCACCTACGAGGTCGGCCGCCCAGACTCAATAAACTTTGCGCCCGAGTCGTTAGGGCTCACATTGGGGGTAAGAAATACATACACTGTTGCATATCTTGGCTTGTTATTGTCGCATATCCTGGACCTCAATCTTCGATGTTTTATGCCTCTGCTAATCCATTGATCGTGACTATTAAAAATTCCAACAAAATTCTCCTGCGCTTCCCGTTTTGTTATTGAGATTTGAGCATATGGCTTAATTTTTTCATACTTGTGTCTAGCTTGCTAGAGGTTCATGATTTTTACTAGAGAAATTCTGTCGCGCAAAATATTGCTTGCAGATTTGAATTCAATCATAGTTCTGGAAGAGTTTTGTAACACCTTTCGATTTTACATATCAGGATTGGCCCGACGAAATGTACATTGATATCCGACCTGACCAGCCTCACTACGCCTCACTTCAAGAAATTATGCTGAAGCGTGCCCAATTGGCGAAAGAAAAAGGTACGTAAGCAAATTTATATACGAGGTACCCATTTTTCGCGATGTTGTAGCTTGACTCGAAATAGAAATGAGGGCTGAAAGTTTCAATTGCTATTTAAAGTATGTATCTACTTCAATAGGCTGCCAGGCCATTGAGTGGGATAATGTTGATTCCTGGCAAGCGGAGGCGATCGAGGGTATTCCGGCCCAGGATGCTGAGATGTATCAAAACCAGCTGATATGGAATAAATATTTAGCTCAGATCACGCACGACAACAATATGGCGGTCGGTTTAAAGGTGACTTGTCTAAACTTTACAATTTTTCGTGCCTCGTTCTTTTTATCAGCCGTATCGTGATCGGAAATGCTACTGGTATGATTCTGATCGGTATCGATCTCTACTCGACAATCCATTGACCGATTCTACTTTCATTTGCAGAACGATGTGGCACAAATTCCGGAACTTGTAGATTACTTCGATTTCGCAGTCAATGAACGCTGTTTCGACTTCAACGAGTGCGATACGCTGCTACCGTTTGTGGAACAAGGGAAAGGAGTTCTCTTAGCCATATACCAAGTATGTAGGACTGTACTTGCCCAAAGCAAAGGTTACGTGTATCCTGATAAATTTTAATGCGTACTATTTGTTGCCGTCGATACGCTCTCACTCTTGAGCGCTTCTAAATGCATGAACATGACAACCGTTCCTCCTTCGGTGTTGTTTTAGCCTGATCTGGCGTGTACTGCTCTGTTATGTTTCATGCGATCGCCCAAGCCTGCTCAACCATCAGACGGGTTTAACATAATGTGCAAGCGGGGGCGATAAATCGATTAAGAATCAGAAAATCGCGACACCATTCATAACTGGGAAGGTTAAACGCTTAATCACCTTCGCTTATTGGCTCGCAGTTTGATGGCCTTAATGTCACCGAAGTGTGCGATTATGCATATGAACATTCGATGATGTCTTTGATTGAATATCGAGGGGACTGGTGGCCCTGCGCCATGCACGACGCTGTGAACGGAGGCTGGAGCGAATGGAGTGAATGTACCCATCCTTGTGGAACGGGCGTTCAAGAGCGAGTTTGTAATGATCCGGTCTCCCAGGTATTTTGAATATTGTAAAACATCTGAACGAGCATACTCTTGTGGTGCTGCCAGTATTTTGAAATTTTTGAGGCTAAAAATTCAGTTTATGTACTCACGGGACCTTCTGCCGCGAATTCGTCGAGAGTTCTATCACCAAATTGCTACTGAAGACTGTACAATTTTGCGTCCTATTCCTGTACAAACCTGCTTAAATATGTATTCGTTTTAAAGCAAATGCGTACTAGTCATTTCGACATTGTCCTATGTCGTTATGTGCTTTGGAACAGTAATAATCTCAAACTCACATTTCTCACCAATTACATCCAGAACAATGGAGCACGGTGTACAGGTGCGAGTCGACGGGCCTGCAATGCTTTGCCTTGTGAGTACTGCAAGGACAGCAACATAACAACTCCTATCGAATGCCTGAATGGTGGCGTATGTTATATTGCCGAGGTGGCTGAAAGTGATACTTCGGCTTGTGTAAGTGCTCATCAAGGTCACATGCAATATCAATATTAGGTTCATTTTTCCTCTTGAGGGGTTATATACTGACAAATTTTTGATTTGCTTCTGGAATATTTGTCGCCCTCTGAAGTTCTCATTCGCTTTGCTATTTTCTTTATGAGTGTACTTGTTTTATATCACTTAATTTTGGAACCAATATAGTCGCGTGTGACTAATTTTGCTTTTAACCCAGGTATGCCCACCTGACTTCACCGGGGAGCGTTGTGAGAATACAGTCTCTGATCTTTACCCCTGCGTGTACGCATATGATGTCGCAAATGCAACTACTGAGCTACTTGGCGGAACATGTGAAAATTTGGGCACCTGCGACCCCACTCTTGAAACGAATGAGACATTTTTTAAGTCCCATTATCTTTCAAGTGGCCTGATAAAAAATCATGCAAACTACACATACACTACGAGGTATGTATCTCAAACTGTTAAGCGTTTGTCATAAGAATGTATTTGTCAGTGCGGTTGGGTCATGTTCGACGATGTTCTGTATTGTTCCAAAATATAATGACGGGAGCGCAAGTACAAGTTATACTGCTGATCTTAACGCAAACAGCGGTCACCTACGAAACTCAATATGTATCATCGGCACGTATATGCGATGATTGTACATACGTCTTCTCCTTTCAATGTAGTGTTTTTGCTGTTCAGTTGTATATTTCTCGCTCAGCTCAGGGTGATGATGTCGTATCGACTTCAACTTTTAAAAAAGATGCAACAATGGCCGCTATATAAGGACTCTCTAAACACTATGGCACCAAATTCCATGATTAATTATTGTCAATTCTCACTAGCAATTATCATGCTGTTCTATTTATAGATGCGTTTGTCCTCCATACTGGGCCGGGCCCTCGTGTGAAACCAAGAGCCAATGTGCAGATGCTTATTCAGAGGGGGCAGCTGACGACACACCAAAGTGCTATCACGGCCGCTGTGTATATCTGCCTTCCTACAACACAGATACGACAATCTGTGAGTGCGATGAAGGCTATGTAGGCGACCTTTGCGACATATCGGACCCATGTCTGAAGGAGAATGCGTGTCTCAATGACGGGCTGTGTGCCTATGATCCCACGCTTGTTGGATGGGGTATGTGCACCTGTAAGGACGGGTTCTTAGGTCGGTCTTGTGAGTTGTCCGGGAACTACACGATACAATGTGAACAGGGCGGCGTAGCATTATTCAATATCTATGAGGGCGAGTATTGTTTCTGCCATCCCTGGAGTACCGGGGACAATTGCGAGATTCCTGTCATTGATGGCCCGTGCGATCAAGGGGTTTGTCCCGCAGAAGCTGTATGTACCTACAAATCAACCACCGAAGAATATGGGAGTGTGCTTGAGTTCGTCAATGGAACTGCCGCTACTCCTAGCATGTCAACGTTTGTCACGTGTACATGTCAATACCCGTACGGAAATGATGATTATTTCAGTTGCACGTATATCGCAGATATAGTTTCTGAAACCCAGCCATTACCATCAACGTTCTCACTACTGACGGAATGTGGAACTGCCACATTGACCCTCACGGACAATGGTACAGCTGTCATGATGGATGCGAACGGTATGTCCATATGGGAGATCAAATTCGCAACTTACGGGCCACTTTGAAGATGCTCGGTTTCCGCAGGTTGTTATACTACATTTTGCACCACTTTTTATGGGATTAGCATACCCGTATGTTGTCAAGTTTGTCAGTTTGGTAAAAATATCACTACAAGTATATTCTCTATTCTTTGAAAACACGGTCGCTGACATTTTTACTAAAACTCGGCTTTCATTTTTGTCGAATTTATTGTACTGGTAGGCATCATTTATAGTACCTATGGAGCTGCCGCGGGTATTCCGCCGTACAATTTAAAAATTTCGCCGATGGGAATCGTTTCAGTCTATGATTCAAATAGCACCCATCAGTGGTCTTATCCATTTGCGGGAGCACCAGTAGAAGAGGGGCCTTATGTCTTCCAGGTATGGGTTTTTAATGCGTTTGTATCTCTTTGCTCTCTTTTTTTTTTGGTCGCGAGATGAAATGCTGCGCGAGTTGATCTCCCGATCCATTGACACCTCCCATTTTCTTTTATATAGTTCAGTTTCTGGGACCATTCATGCCATCGAAGTGTTGAGTACCACTTAGATCTGGTTCACTGTGGAGCGCAGCTATTGCTGATGAATGTCCTAATATTAAAATTCGACTCTGATTTTGTTTGTACCTTAGCTGACATCGGATGGTGATGCCATAGTGCGTCCATTTGTCAACGAAAAGGTCCTCTTTAGCCTGGGCACACAGACTCCAAGCTATTGTGAGAATGGCAATCCTGTGACTCCGAACACGACCACCAACGGCAACGCCAGTGTTGTGGCAAGCAGCGATGCAGTATCATCCCCCGCGAGTATCTCTACCCAAGCAGCCGCCCCAGTTAGCTTACCCGCTACAGCTATCAGTTCAGCAGGAATTGATTCACTTTCCAGCTCAACACAAGCAGCTCCGCTGTTGCCGGCTACCGATAGTCCAGCGGCAAGTGCTGCAATGACCAGTGCAATACAAACAGCTATCTCTGCCAGCATACCGGCTGCAGCTACGAATCCAGTACCAAGTGAGTCTGGAATTAGTGCAACACAAGCAGCTCCCCTGTCGACGGCTACATCGGTTGTTGTTCCGACAGCACTCGTCAGCAATGTGTCGAGACACATTGGCTAACAATTATACATCTACTGCGTGCACCAAGTTTTCCAACACCCTGTCACGACAAAGGGTTTTGCTTCATAGGGTCCAAACCGATCTGGCAGAGTTCTCAGGTAGAGTGGTCCCTTGTCTCGGTTCTTTTTGCGAATTGAGAGGAAAAAAGGGGTATTACACTTGCACTGGCCTTGACTGTTTCGATTAGAGTACTTGATTTGAGGGCGATCGCAGAAGCTGCGTGGTTGCGCAGCGACGAGAAATTCGCAGGCAGGATTGAAAGTCGAATGTCGTAAACATGTCCACACGATATTTTTTATGTTCAATAATGCACGGAAATGTATATAGCTCATATCAATATAGATGTGAATAAAAGGTCAAACACTATCCAACGTGTGGTAGGTGTTCATATGAACCCTCAAGAAGGACCAATATTCTTCATTTACCATAAGTATCCACCATTGGTGACGCGCTCAGGTCAAGGCACTTATCACTTTAGTAGGTTGGTCTAAGGGGTATTTATCAACGTTTAGCTTATAGCCTGCGAGACAGCTTTTTTCTGCCGAATATGTTTCATGCCACTCGTATAAGTAAAGAATGTAGTTGAATATCCACATTCGTAAACATGTTCGGGCACTACTAAAATGGGGCCATACAGATGATTGCCGGTGTTGTTTACTGAAAACTTGGGGTTGATTGCAAAAATTGATGGGTGCACAAGCAACTAGAACACATTCGGATTTCAAGAGTTAAAAATAAGCGCAAGAGCTCAAATCTGAAACTCCTAGTATGTTGCTCACATGCGCGTAAGCAATTTATTGGGATTGCCAATAGCGGTTTGCTTCTGATGCACGACCGTGCCGATCTCACTTTCTATTCCATAACGTCAGAAGAGAGGCAGCTTGCTGAAGATCTCGTAGTCGATGCTGATTATAAAAACACAGTCTTTGTTGGCGTAAGCTGTTCGCTTGAAATCCCGCCACAATGTTACCCCATTTTGGTTGACGAGTTTACATGTGCTCATCTAGAAACTTAGGTTTAGGATCATTTCAGAAGTACCAATAAAATCGGACGAAATTGATCAAAATGCCTTTGATCTCCAGTCATCGAGTTCGTCAACGTCGTCGTCGCTACTATCGTCATCAATCTTCATCGCGTGTTCTTTTCTTGCATGAGTCGCTGAGGTAGTCTTTGATTTCATATTGTCTATAGCCTGTTCTCTCATCCGCTTCATCCGTTCAACTCGATCCAATGCGGCCCTGACAATGTAGGTCAACTTAAGATGTCAATTGCTGCACTATTGATATCCAGTCTTGCGGCTTGGGATGGCATTTTAGAGTGAGTGAAGGCAATGGAAGGCGACGCGATCAAGCCTATCCAAAAAATATGACACTGCACAGAAAGCAATATATATATATATAGCTACATGCGACACCATACCAAATTTCTCTTGTACTGCCATAGTTTAAATTGAACGACTCACCTCTGTTCCTGGCCTAAAATTTTATCTCTACCTTCAGCGTACTCCAGCTCGTCTTCCTCAATAAGCGCTTCTGATTTCTCTTGCTCTTTAGACATTACTTTCTGGAAACTTTGAAATATAATGAAGAGTTTATTGCAATGAGAGATCACACATGGGGTGCCCATGCGTTCACAGAAAACTCACGCAACCCAGTAAGCGCTGGAGGCAAATGTATAGAGCCTGTCCAAAAGTCGAACAAAAATTTCATTACCTGTCCCATTCATTGATAGCTTCCTTTTTCGTGTCGATATTCCTTTCCTTCGCGTCTCTATTATAGTCGTCGAAAAAGCCTTCCGGTAGCGCAGAATCGTTCTCAGCTGTATTCACGCAAGGGCGGTGGATTGTTTAGGAGACAGAATTGAAAACAAAACATAGTTGCAATCAGGTGCAAGCTGGGTAACTATAGGGCAGCAGCAAGACCCATGGGAACTCTGCCTGAAAGGAGGAGATTTAAAACTGTGTACCAATATTCGAACTGGATGGAACAAGCCCAAGATTAAGGTGACGCTCATGATCATGAACGGTAGCAAGCCTTTCAGACCAATAGTTTATAAAAAGAAAACACAAGGTAGACATTCAAAAAACGACAAGCCTTCAGGTACGATTGAACTCTTTTATCTGAAGCTACAAGTCGATTAAAATCGAAAAGAGACCGCATCCAGTCAGCGATATCTAAGTATCGCCAACCTCTAAACCTGCACTACGTACACAGATGATAAAACTTGTCATTTACGTCGAAGAATAGTGCTGCCAGTGTACGCCAGTACAGAACTGTTCCACACACTCGATTATTGTGCGAGTGAGAAAAAGCGTTCTGATGTAATGATGGAACTCAGCATCCTCAATAAATCATCGTGTAAAACTTCGAAAAGTGTGATTTTTGATAATATATGCGGATGCACCCCATTCGGAATATCTCACATACACACCATCACACAGGATGGCAATATTCGTCACCGCTACCTTTCGCGGACATGTGCAATCACATATTAATAGTATTTGTCCTGTTCCCGTATAGATCTAAAAATCGACGTCCAGGCCAGATACTTTAGTGTCCGGGCAATTTAAATACAATGATATACAAAATAAACTCTCAATATCAACCTTAACTACTGCAAATCCTCATCAAATGCACCGCCAGGTCTACAGTGTGCCATAAATTCCTCGAGTACGGATAACTAGGACACACATGTTGACTGAAGTTTGATAGTAGATATGCATACTTGTGCAGATACAGAAGCACGCATGCGATACCCATTTCATTGCAAGAGGTAGAGCGGAGGAGTAAGAGGTAAAACAAAATCAATATAGCAGTAATCCATACATATAATCATCAAACCTCATACACGTGAACTTTTTAAAGCTATACAAAAGTACATTCACATGTGCACACACAAAAACAGACAAACAGACAAAAACATATCAACACATATATATACATACATACACATATATACATATATACATAAACACACACACACACACACACACACACACATATGTATATATATATACATATATATATATATATATATATATATATATATATATATATATATATATACATATATATATATATATATATCTATCTATACAAATATATACAAATATACATACATACACACACACACACACATATATATATATACATACACACACACACACACAAATATATATATAGATTTCACACTCACATACACGGGTACACATACACACACACACACACATAATATATATATATATATAATGTATAATATACATATATATATATATAACAT